TCTAAGCTGTCAGCACAGAGCCCGACGCGGGGCCTGAACTCACGAACCGCGAGATCATGACCTGAGCCGAAGTCGGACGCTTAACCGACTGAGCCACCCAGGAGCCTCGAAAATGTCATAGCTTTTATGTACCAACCAAAGATGTCCACAAAAGCAAACCCAGCAATGGTCCCTGGGAGGAAGGCACAGCACTGGCAGATGTCGCTGTGAATGGCCCTTTCCCCGCTTTCCTTACCCCTAGGTTCCCTGGCAGCCATTTTCACATCAAACATGGGTATGCACAATAACATGGTACGTGTTTTTTTGAAAAACCATTTGTCCCCTGTACAAAACAGAACATTAACAAGACCGTATTGACTCCTAGGCAAGAATCTTTCACAGGTCATCTGCCCCGTGACTGCGCCAGGGGAACGCAGCAGACAAGGAAAGGATGACAGAGCCACAAGTCGCACACTGAGAGACTGAACGCAGACCACGGTATCGAAGGACAGGAATGACTAACATTCTAGCATAGGGACTATGTGCCAGGCGCACCATGACTTTCCATGTGAAGTTATCTTGTTACATACTAACAGTTTCAGCAATTCAAAAAGCAGAGAGAGAAGAATGGATTCCGAACGAGGAAAAAACGTCACTGGATCTGAAAATCTCGAACTGGCTGAGCAGTCTTTTCTTCCACGCCCTCCTCAACATGAGGTATTTCTTCACAACAATAAAATGCTTTGGTTTGCTGATGTGTACGACAGACTCTCAGAAACACAAGACAGCACAAGATGCTGGTGTGAGTGCGCGTTGTTTCCAAGTCTGAGAAAAGCCAACATCCTAACGCAGCAAGCGAACTGGTTCATGACTTTCAGAGTAAATGGAGCACTCAGGTTTCAACGGTCAGGGCACAGAGCCAGTGAGAAACCATTCCAACAATGACTGCATTACTTAACAGAGAAGGACAGTCCACAAAGTGCAGTCACTTACAGGACACATACACATGGTTTTTGCAACTGCTCAAAGTAAGAAATAGAGAATTTCAGCTTCTATTTTCTGCCGTAAACAACTATGTTGAATAAAATATTAAAGCATGTTCTTCCACACACCCAAAAGCAACCTTGAGAGAAGGAAGAATTATTCAAACAACGAAGTGCTGAGTATTCAATTTTCATCTTTATTAATTTTATCCCGAATGCAAACACAAGGTATTCTGCATTAGAGATATCACTTACTAATTACCTCACAATAAGAAATAAGTGTGCTGTTACTATCCTTGTACCTTGACCAAGGCCTTCCTTTTGGGGTGGCCAGGTGAGCCAGACGCCCCTGGGTGAGGTACACAGGGGACGGGAGACCGGTCATGCTCTGCTTCTACAGACTTCCTCTTCCCCTCCAAAGACGGAGTTCTAGGAGACGCAAAGGGCTTGAATTCTAACCAACACTGTGGTGTGCAAATAAAATCTCTCCAGGAGCCAAGTGATCTAAGAGATGACTCAGTTTTGGGCTTTATCCCTTTTGACCTTTAAAAACACAGAGAGATAATGCTCTGGTCTC